GATGTCTTAATTAATATATAAGAGAGTATAAGGTGTGATGAACTTGGGAAAATTGCTCTGAAGTATGTTTTGGCTGAGTTGTTTTTATGTGTAAAATTGAGAAAAGGATTGTGTGAATTATCTGGAATTAGAGAGAAATGAATGGAGTTGTGAAATAAAATTATGAAATGTCAAATGGATAACATGTGTAAGGAAACAAGTTGGAAAGAAAAAATTGGAATGGTACTTGTTTATTAGCTTGAAATTCTAAAAATTGTAATATAGGTTTTACTAAGAATTGATGATTGTTTGTAAGTTTTGTTGGTTAGAGCTTGTTGTACTTTGTGATTGAGATTGTATTTACGTTGATTGTATGTTAAAGGGAAAGTGAGTGGTGGTTGAGAGGAGGTGACAATAAAAGAAGTGTTGTGGGAATATTGATAAGTGTATTGTTGGTGTGTATAGATGAGGGGGTGTTGTTAGATGGTTAACTGTTATGGAAAGGTTAAATTGCTCAAGCAATTATGAACAGTTAAGCGAGGGTTAGTTTTGATTCGTTGAAGAGTGGTTAACGTGAACTCTAGTTTAAATGTGTTGTAACCATGCGTGTAATTAAATGTATCTTGCTAGGATAGTTAATAATTAAGGGTTGGTTAAATTATGTGTTGTCAAATCAATGAAACAATTTGGCAGTTGATTGGCTTTTTCACTTCATGTTCTAAGTGGTTTTGTAAGTAAATGTTCATGTAAGTAGTTGTTGATTTTGTAGTTGAAAGTCGTGAGTTATTGTTATTGCAATTTCTTGCGTTGAAAAACCTGGTTTTCCTTTCCTGCAGGGGATATTGTTTTTTTTTTTTTTTTTTTTATTTTTTTATTTATTTTTTTGCCTTACAGACATATATTAAATGTTTACAGTACTAAACACTACTGAAACTAAATACTACTAACAATATTCACTATACTTGCACTATTTACAATATTGGCTATACTGACAATACCATCCATACGATGCTCGTACTACCAATAATTACAATGGTTACACTACTTACAATTCTAGTAAGGTCAGAGGAGTTACTTTCCATGTCTATTTTATAGCTTTTCAATTCTGTATTTAATTATCATTTTACCAACGAAGTCTTGGAGGAGAATTGGTTTGTTGTGTAGTTTGTTGGCGTAGATGTAGTATCTCATAAACAACATGGTATAATTGAATTTCCTTACTAGTACCTTTTCATGTAAGTCCGAGAGGATGCCGAACAGTCTTTCTTCACTAGATGGGTTGAGATTGATCTTGTTTTCTATATTGAACCAGTTGATAACCCGTTGAATGAAAATCTTGACGAAATGACAATCTCTAAAAGTATGATTAATAGAGTCTTTTTCACCACAATATATACATTCATCATCTTCCTTGATTCCATAGCGGTGAAGTTCCTTTTTGGTGACTACAATTCGGTGGATTAATTTATATTGAAATTCCTTTAATTTGGTCTCCCTACAGACGGTTTTTAGGGAGGTGAATATTTTTTCCCATTTATCTTCATCCAAGGAAAGATCTTTGCTCCATCTCTGTGGCCCAGAATGACCTGTTGTGTGGATTTTTGTGCATAATAACGTATAGAAGTCGCTAGTCTTGATTTTGTTCAGATATAGAGTTATCGATTCATTTAATTGTAGACTAAGATTATTATCAGAATATAACTCTTTTTTAATTGGCTTCGTTGATTTTGCTTTGGCTAATAGGTACTTTGGGATAGCGCTAATAACTTGATAGTATTGAAGGAAGTTAGTTTTACAGGAATACTTATTCGTAACTTCCTGATAGGTCATCGGTTGACCGGTATTGTGTAAGAGATCTTGTATTGACAGGATACCTTTTTTAAACCATTCCCTGATAAAAAAGGTTTTACTGTCAACAAGTATTTCTTTGTTGTTGAATAGAATTATATTTTGTGCTTGATCAAAGCTGTACAGAGTTTTTAATTCACTGAAGTATACTAGAATATTTCGGTAAAACAATGGAATAGATTTTATGTATTTCGCATCGTAGTTACATCTCAGTAAAAAGTTCAAACCTCCGAATTTTCTTAGGTAATAATCAGGAACTGTTTTCCAATTCTGGTTCCCTGGAGTCAGTAATCTTGGAATCCAGGCTAGTTTTACAGCTTTAAACATTATGTCGATGTCTACCATACGTATTCCGCCTCTTCCCAGATCCTGAGAGAGCCCAGTTCGTTTAATTTTATCCCTTTTGTTTTTCCATAAGAAACTAAAAAACTTTGTTTTCACTGTGCTTGCGATATCTTCGGGAACATTAAGAATTGAAGCTGAATAAATTAATTGTGACAATCCTAGGGACTTAATTATCAGTACCTTCCCAAATAGTGTGAGGTCTCTAGATCTCCACATATCCAGCTTTGTTTGAAGTTTTCGTATTTTCAGATTAAAGTTCAATTCATTGTTACCCTTCTCATCATAAGAGACATGAATTCCTAAGAGGCGAGCTGGACTATGTAACCATTTTAGTTGTAAAGGATAACTTTTTGTTTTTTCCCATTTTCCCAACCAAATTGCTTTTCGATTTCTTTTTATGTTTAACTTGAGACCCGCTAGCCTCCCAAAATCCCCCACCGTTTTCAAAGCATTTTCAACGGAGATCAAATCTGCACAGAAAAGGTTTGTGTCGTCTCTAATTGGCTCAATTTGATTTCGTGCCCGAATATTTTGATTCCTGTTATACTTGGTTCTTGTCTGATTTTGCTGGATAATATCTCCGTGGAAAGCACAAATAAGTACGGAGAAAGGGGACACCCTGTCGCACTCCTCTTGACGGTCTAAACCAGTTGGTCATGAAACCATTGTTTATCACCGCGCTCTCAATTTTTTGTATAGAATGTACTGATCCATCTTTTTATACTTGTTCCGAAATTGAATATATCCAGTGCTTTCATCATGAACGACCATTCTAGAGAATCAAAAGCTTTCGAAAATCTAGAGATACTAGAATGCCAGGTATGCTTTCTGACTTCGTATGTTCCATTATGTCGATTATTAGCCTAATATTTTCCCGATATATCTTCCTTTGATAAAACCGGTTTGATCAGTGTGCACTAGATTTGGTAATAATGGTTCTATTCTCCTTGCTATTACCTTAGTTGCTATCTTGCAATCAACATTTAGCAGTGTTACCGGTCTCCAGTTTGAAAGTTCTAGTAGCGAGCCATCTTCTTTGGGAATTAAAGTAATAACGCCTCTTCGTTTGTGAAATGGTGAGTTCATTTGCATCATAGGCCGCATTGAAACTAGCAACAAGATCGTGTCCTAGCAGATCGAAAAAAAAAAAACGTATAAAATTCAACCGTGAAACCATCTTCTCCTGGAGCTTTGTTGTTTTGAAAAGTGTCTAAAGCTTTTTTGCATTCTTCATAAGATAATGGACCTTCTATTCTATCTCTGTCTGCATCTGATAGTTTTGAATTTTTAAATGTTCGGTGAATTCATCAACATTATTTTCCTGTGAATTATTTGCTGATGCGTACAATTCGCTATAATAGTTTTCGATAGCTTCTAATATCTGAGACTCGTTGTTTGTTACTGTTTCACTTTCTGTTCGCAGTTCAGTGATGGTTTTCCTGTTGTAGTTTCTTTTTCCAGATTGAAAAAGTACTTTGTTGGACGTTCGCCCTTTTCGACCCATCGACATTTCGATCTAAAAATAGCTGCCCTCCCTTTCTCCTCATAAATAGATTGGAGTTCCATTTTGAGATCTTCATATTCATTTAGGATGTGCGCGATATTGGGAGAGTTAAAGTTGTCATAAATATTGCAGTCCAGAATTTCGAGCTGTCTCCTAATTTCCAATTCTCTATTAGTGGTCGCTTTAGCTTTCTTTTTACTATAAGCAATGGTTGCCGCTCTGGTTTCCATTTTTAACATTTCCCAAAGAAGGCGTCGTCTGTCAAATTGGAGTAAAAAGCGCGTGTCGGGAGTACGTTTCACGGATTTTGGACACATAATGTTCATCTTTCAGTAACGTGTTGTTGAATTTCCAAAGTCCGGGTCCTCTAGACTTTTCAGTTGTCCAAGACAAAGAAATGTAAATTGCTCGGTGATCCGGTGCTATAGAAGGATACATTTCGCTTTTCTTCACATGTTGTGTCAGATTTTTGGCAACTAGGAAAAAGTCTATTCTGGATTTCAGTTTTAACACTTTTGATTCATAAGAGTATTTACGTAGCCTCGGGTGACGTAATCTTTGAATATCTACGAGATCGAAAGCGTCCATAGTTGTCAAAATCAGGTTTCGATAATTTGTTGGTTTCCAAATTGTGCCACCAATTTTATCTATCTTTGATAGTGTGCAATTCAGTCGCCTCCTACAATAAGCGTGGAAATTTCTGACTTGTCGATAAGGCAATTGTTTAAGTTTTGTAAGAAATCTAATTGTTCACTTTGGCTATTCGGGGCATAAATATTCACCAGTGATAATTTTAGAGAATTCAGAACACAAGTAATTAGCACGATTCTTCCAGCCTTGTCACTGAATGAGTAATCGATCTTATTTTGTACCGTAGGGTGTAAAAGAATGCAAACACCTTTACTATGCCTGGATCCGTGAGAGAAAAATATTTCACCTCCCCATTCGTTTTTCCAAATAATTTCATCTTCTGGTTGAGAGTAAGTTTCTTGCAAGAAATAAATTTTTGAGTTATGATCTTTGAGATATAGAAAAATGCTCCTCCGTTTGGCTTGATCTCTTATTCCCCTTACGTTTAGAGAAAGTATATCGTATTTTGCTTTCTCTTGCATTACAACAAAAAACAAAACAAAAAACAAAAAAACAAGAAGAATATATATGCAAATTTAAAAAAAAAATACAGAAGCAAACAAAACTAAAATTATACAAAATGTAAATTAAAGTAGTTTTTGAGCGTTTCCCTTCTTCTTCTCCGAACTTTGCGTTTTTTGTTCCTGTCCCAAATGTAAGTTACAGTTTTTGTCTTCCTTGGCCGATTGGACATTTAAAGATAATCTAAGTCTTCCAGCTCGTTAATTCTGACCGGCTTACCCTGCGGAGAGGTCTTGACATATATTGATCCATCCATTGACCAGACACTCAAAAATTCATCATTTCTCCGCATCTCGTTTGCCCGATTCATTATTTTTTTCCTGTACGAGGTAAGATTCTCGTTTAAAAAAATTCTGTCGGCTTGCACTAGAGTTGACGACGAGCACTGCGGGAAGATGTTAGAAACTCTGACATTTTTTAGCTTAGCCCTAGCCCTGTATAGATTTGTTTTGACCTTGTGGCTTATAAATTTTACAATAATTGGTTTGTTACCCTTCCTGTTCAGCTTGTGACATATTTCGATATCCTTTGGTTCTACCGATACATCTAGGGCCTCCGCTAATTTTAACACCACGTCTTCCGTCTCGGTGTAGGCGCATTCTGGTACACCATGTATTTCTATTGAGTTTTTCCTCGTGTATTGTTCTAGTTTGTCTTGAAGATCGTACAATTCACCAATTTCTTCTTCCTGCTCTTGAATTTTCTTTCTTGCTGCCACCAGCCCGCGTTCTACCTCGTTGTACTGCTTCGTTATATGTTCTAGAGATGATTTCAACGCAGTTATATCGTCTGTTTGATGTTGAATTGTGCGCTTGAGATCGGTCATTTCGCTTCTGATTGTTTTGTTTTCGCGTAGGATAGTTGCAGTATTTATTTGAATGTCTACCAACATCTCCCTTAGTTCATTTGTCGCTTCCACTAACTCCGCGGCCTCTTCCTCTTGACATTCCGCCATGTCGGCTCTTTTAAGTGTCGATGGTTCTTCTTCCTCCACTGATCCTCGAGCTCCTCGTTTGTGTTTTCCTCCTAATTTCTTGACAATATCCCCTGCAGGGGATATTGTTGACAGGAGGGATTTGAACAGGTTCAAGGTCAAGCAAAGTGAAGAATTCCTGGCAGACATTTAACTACTAAAAGTTGACAGAAGATAGTAAAAGGGAATTTTAGTATTGAAAATGGTGATGGTTGAGAAAGTGTTACTTTGAAAAGGATTGAATTAATGCTTTTTTAAGGCTGTGTTTTCACTAGGACAATTTTGACTAGATAAAGTTGGATAAGTGCGGAAATGCAGTGAAAACACTTTGTGTTTAGTTTAGCGAGTTAAAAATGCAAGCTGTTTTCACTAGGAAACCAAGGGATTATCTTGCCTTTATGACCGGAAATTCACGCCAAGTTATACTACCTCGCGAGATGGTATAACTTGTCCTGGTAAGTGCTGCAGCCAATCGCATTGCGCGTAGTGACAGACGCATGCCAATTAATCTGCTGATAGTATTTACCAGACGCATGTATCGTAGTTCAGTTTTCCTCGTGGTTCAAAGTGGCTGACGACTTTAATCCCGCTCATCGTTTCTATCAATTTACAATCCCTCCTGCACAAATCGATTGTCCAGTTCCTTGGCCAGGACCATACTTGTTTCAAAGCGCTGGTGTACAGCACCAGTTTAATCAATCACCGCTGCAATTTATGCCACATCGGCCACATGTATCTCCCGCAACAAGCCCTGAAGGAAGCAGTGAAAGCAGTTCGATCGACGATATGTCGCAGCCAGGATCTAGCAGAAATCGGTGCCCAAACTGGTCCGATGCGGAGACGCGTTTCCTATTAGAATTGTGGAGAGACAGTTTCCCAATAAGCAAAAGAAGGAACGGTGCTGCCTGGGACTCCATTGCGAAGAAACTCAATGGTGTTTTAAAAGAGCAAGGGTTCTTTTGATGGTTGTTTTTCTAGGATGGAAATTGGTGGAGTTTAATTGTTAACGTTGGTGTGAGGAAACAGTTAATTATAGTTGCTGTGATGATTGGAGGATTTCAATGTGTGGGCATGGTTAGATCACGTGCATTGTAAATGCGTGCACGTGAAGATGTTGGAGTTTGCCCTTTTGATACTTGTTTTGTATTGTATTGAAAGAGAAAGCTGCGAGCAACGTAAAAGTAGGGATTGAAATCCTCCAATGAGCAGGTTTATTGTAATTGCCTTATTTCTGACAGGAATGTTGGCCAATGAAAGTGGAGCTGTTTTGATTGTAAGAGATACTTTAATATAGGCTCGTTTAACATGGAGCAGCTATTTGTAGTTGTTTAGTGTCATTGACGAAGAAAGATGAATGTACCTTTTCTGTCCTAAATAGCAGCCTTGAAGATATGAATGGTCAGTTACATGCGTCGGGGAGCTTTGTTTCGTCCGCCTCATATTACTGTGAAAAGCGAATCTGCATGAGATCTTCATTTACAGAGCTGGTACATAAGAGTGTTGGACTCTGCTCCCGCTCGAGGTTTGTGCGTGACGGAATTTGAGTTAAGCCTAGTAATCTAGTAAACAAATTGCTCGTTTGTACGTGAGGGAATTCGAGTTATAAGACAGTAATCTAGTAAACAGGATTATCAAAATAAGTGATGCCCAGAATTTGCACGTGAACATGTTGGACTTTGCCCTTATTACTATTTGTAGGTGAAAAACGCACATTGTTTACAAGATTGCTTTGCTCAAACGATCTTAAGAAATTACCTCCTTTTGTAACATTTGCAATAAAAATGATGGATCATTCAATGTTAAAATTGAGATCCTAACATCATTACTTTACTTGGAACAGAAGGATCAAATTGCGAAAATAGTGATTTCTACTTGTGTTATTCCAGGAAATGAAACAATAGGTGATTATTTAATGAAGTGGCTATTTCGAAGTTTATTCACTTAGGCAAAGGTTGGGAATGTTTACTTAGGGCCTGTTTACATGGAAGTGTGGGAGTGCAGGTAGGTGAGGTAGGCTGCTTAGGTGGGGTAACCTGCCGGTCACATAATGTCTCATTTTAATTTGATGACATTTATATGATAGGTGGGGCCATGTGCCAGACGGGGTAACTCTTTCAGCGTGGGTGAAATTTTGTCATGTAAATTTTTCAAGGTGGGGTAACCCGTGTAGTCGGCTTCGGATTTGTGAAAGATTATATTGGCGGAAAATTTGCTTTCGCAGTGGCGTTGAATGATTATTTAAGGTAACAATAGCAAGCGACAGGATTGAAAGTTGCAGCAGGAGGAGCAAGTGAGTGTAGAAGAGTTTAAGCGCAAAAAAAGGTGGTTTGCCAGTATTTTTGGTGTACGTGCAGGTGGTTATTAACTTTTGCATAATCTTCAGAAAGTGTACCCCTGGCTGGTGCGGTTGTAAGAGTGTATGTAAAGGAGGGTTATTTTTTTACCTGTTAGTGAGTCGGTGAATTTAGGTTACCACTGATTTCTATATGCCAGAATGAAGTTGAAAGATTAATAATTCATACATAAAATAATTTTGTACAAAACAAGGAACCGGATTGATTAACAGTGTTGATTAGCGTGAAGCCCTGGGAATAGTTATTAGGGTTAAGTACTGATGAATAGAAATTAGGGTTAAGAACTGACTGGAAAAAGTGTTAGCTGGTTAGCTTCTATTTGGGGTTAGTGAGGGTTGTTGGTATATAGTCTGAAATGAAACTGTTGGTCATGTCGAAGTGCTCGATATAGATAAAAGTGACAAAAAACTGTAAAATGTGATGTGAAGGATTTTGTTATGTAAAATAAAAGTTGATTTGTTAGTCGATTTGTGTTTGTGTATTAATTTGTGAAGGAAAGAAGAGCACCCCTAAGAAAGTTCAGGTTCTTTTGGCCCTCTTTAAATTTTGGAGTGCAAAGACGTACGTTGTGAGTTTTTAGAGAATTCGTAATTTTTGCGTACATTTTGTGTAAGTTTGATACTGTCGAATTACAGAAAATGTATGGGAAAATGCAGGTTTTCTAAAAACTTAGGACGGATTTTTGCACTCCACATTTAGTATATTGTTTCTTGGAACTTGTAATTTACTCTTGCAAAGGGAAAGCATCAAATATATGAATTCAGGAAGAAAGAGCGGACTCTGAATTGAAGTACAAATTTTCTAATTTCCGCCATCTTGCCCTGATTACCTGTGATGCAACTATGACCATGAATTTCTGTACAGCTGCAAGTAAGAAAGAAGAACTGACTGAACAGAACAAAAGCAGAGAGTGAAACATGGAGTGTCAGAAAAATAAAATGTAGTTTTTAACTGTCGTGAGTGTTTTGTGTCTCTGAAAATTAGGGAATGTAGAGCAAGAGCCAAAAAATAATGAAACGGTAGGGGGACGAATTCAGGTGGAAACGCTTGTTACGCAGGGAAGTGCTTGGGTGTCCACCTCAAGTGCGTAAATGAGCAGGTAATGTGTGGGATGGGAATTGAAGGTTACACTCCAACTTGCGGAGTAGCTCAATAATTGTGTTTACTAATGCGGTAATCAAAGATGTTTAAACAACAAGAAGAAGAACAACAATAAGAGCAGAACGACTTTTGCCAATTTTTTTTCCCAGCAAAGTGTCTCTTTGGCGGTTGGCAAATTTTTGCGAAGAAGTTGAACGGAGTTGTTTTATTGCTTTTTCAAGAAAGAAAAAGTCTCAGACTCTGAATAAAAGAAAGTTTGTATGTATAGTTATATAAAAAGTTAAGAAACAGTAATACTTGGGAAGGCGTTAAAAGCTGATACTATAGAAAGGATGCAACTGAAACGCAATTTCTTTATTAAGTGGAAGACGTAACGCTATTTTCTTTCATTATCTAAAGTAACAGGGGACAGAGTTTTGCATTCTAGCCTCTAATGAACACTGTCGATTGTAGATTGAAGGCTTTTGCTTATAGTGTTAGAGAAAGCTCGATTCAATATGCCAGAATTTTTGCGGATTACTTGATGTCTTGGGCTAGTAGGGAGTAGCGGA